TAGGGCGTATCGCGGAGGATAACTAAGCGTAGGGCTGATCCCTTGTGTCTTTAGAATAACACACTGTGGGATCATACGTGCAAATAAAAGCTGCAAATTTGCCCGTTCTTAGTCGCAGTCCAAATATCATCAAGCGTGGGCTGATACGAGTCGGCTCTGCCACCAGCTGGCCATTTAAGCGTTCGGACAGTGAAACTCCGACCCCATGTTCACGTGCTGGTGTAGTGACGTTCTCCACCCGGCACCAGCCTCATGCAGTTTTTCTTGGTCAGCGAGCCGAGTCTCACTAAGTGCCGCATTTTCGATTCCTTAGCGCGCGAGTTCCATCGCTACCAGTGCAGTGCGTCGCTCGGATCGCTTACTCGTATGCCGCTCGAGTAGTGTACGCACGTTCCATCGCCCGATGTTGAGTACTTTGCGCTGAAGCATACGATTTCGGTGGTGGACAATCGCTTTTATGGTGACCTGCGCTGGAGGAAGTACTGGCTTAGATGAACTGGAGATGGGGAGAGTATACGCAGGAGAAGAAGAAGGGAGGCATGTTTTCGCTTATCCATTTTACTGTGTACAGCAGATAAGGCGGCCGCTTTCCTAATGCCATCGCGCGACGGTCGATGCAGCATGAAATTATTATTATTATTATTATTGGCGTGATTCATAGTTTGGAGTTGGACTATATTACTGCCAGTGCGCCCACACCTAACAGGAGAACTACTCGGGTCCTCAACCAAAGCGTTCGCTAACATTTGCACCCGAAAGTCAGCGGGCCGTACGGCCTTAGTCAGTGAACCGACCAGGAATTGTGTCCTGGCTGTTAACTAGAAGAATGGTGCGACACAATTCTCACCGAGCGTTTACCACGAGAAGGCGTCTAGGACACGAGTCCACGGCACATGATTATCAGCAACGGGTCGACGATGTGTCTGGATCTCACCACCATTAGCCACAGCTCACTATAGGCTCTGCTGCTCCACGTATGCTAGCCCACATACAACCATGCTGATTATCGCATCAAATCTCACTGACTTCTCATAATACTCCATGGAAATGAAACATCAAGGCATTATACCGATCTGTTATTCTTGTCGTTCTTAACATACCCACACGTCCCTATAACATCGGTCCACCTGTAGTCGTTTAGTTGGCCGCGGTCCTTTGGTGGATCCAATGCACTCGTCGGAAGCTATCTATTGACCCCCAGAAATGTGCTTACCATCTTTGCATCGACCTTAGTATTCAGGCGGTTGTCAATCATCGAACTGTTGCTTATCGTGATTCTTTCAATGAATACCATCGTCGAATGCGAAATCAGATTCATCACCACCAGATCTCTCCATAGGTTTTGAACATTTGCTTATTTCTAGCAATGAGTTCACTTGGCTACTTTCCATTTGTTAGGGAGGCTGCGGCGTAGCGCATCCCGCGTTGATTCACATTGGATTGGCCAACACTTACGGGCTGGAATGTTCCGGTCTGTTTGTGACTGAAGGCGCCCGTTGTCTTCCGGGTGCTCATATCCTATCTTTTCTGTCACGCAGTCAACCGAGCCGATATTTAAGATCGTTGACTGAGTTTAACTAACGTATAGGGATGATACGGGATTAAATGTTAAGAGTGAGTTTATTTAGCATTTCTGCTATTCGTGTTGTCGCCACTTTGATAGGTGCCAGTTACTGATTTTATCTGTTACCTACCTTTCTCAATCCGAAATAGGCAGTTTGACTTTTTTGTGTAAGATCAACGCTGAATATTTTTTATCTATAGATTGCATGCAACAAACAGGTCTGCACAACGTTCCTACTTTGCTGCTGTGTCATTCAAGTTTCCGTACATGATGTACTTGTGAAGGGTGGATGTCCGTCGTTCACATCTTGCAAAGCATCTTTAGCCTGTCCATTTTCTTGCGGGTACTATCTGGCTGATTTGTCGCGTAATGATCTCAGCACGTGGCTGGTACTCTCTGGGTTTTTACTTTACTATCCAGTGCACTCATCGATGATGTGTTGAACATGTCTAAATCTATTCCCCTATATTTCCATCCTTTCTAAAGTGTAATGTGCTATGTTATTCACCCCATCTGTATGGGGTATTGGCGCATTCATTATTTAAGGCTAGGGCTGTGTCAAGTTCGAATCTCATAACATTGCTCGTTGTCATCCTTCGGTCTACCGAACGTCTTCTCACTGACTGGCTAGCCGAACAACCCCCGCGTGGTGCCAGCTGAATGGTTCGGGTTTACTCCGCTCCAGAAAATAGTTTGGAGGCAGTGTTCCAGGACGTGGTGGGTCTTTGCTGGCAAGCGTTCTCCCAATAAAAAGCCACAAATGTCTACTTATCAAGAATGCGACATGGTGATTATAATTCGCCGCGTGGTAATTGTGGGCTTAACTCAGAACGGACTGACAACGGCGAGCGTCTGCTGCAACTGTGTGCGGAGCACCAGCTGTTTCTTAGTCGCGCTGCTTTTATACACAGTGGGCAACGAAGTGCCACTTGGCGTCCTCCTGTAGCTGGCCAGCGATGGACCCAAATTGACCACATAGCCATAAGTTATAGATGGTGTGGTTGCATCCCAGACTGCCGCTCGTACTTTCGCCGAATCTGATCATGCATCAGTAGCTGTCGTCTGGAGGTGCACCGAGCGTCTCCTCCGATTGGCAACTGATAAACTGTTTCAGCTCTCTAACAGGCAAGCCTATCACGACGCAACGCGTACCGAACTTTCGCTGTCTTGTCCTAATGACGCTGAGTTTCAGTGGAATAGGATCTCGGCCGCCATGCATGACGCAGGAGCATCCGATTGTGGCACTATCCATCGTCACCGCACCAATCGCTGGATATCCAAGAGGTCGGTAAACCTGTTGGAATCCAGAACAAACCTCCCGGCTGGCTCTGAACATAATGTGACCAGACGGGCTATAAGGAGTGAACTAAAGCGGAGCCTACGTGCTGAGAAGGAAGCCTGGTGGATCAGTCACCCTTAACAAATGGAGGAGGCAGGAGCTGTAGGCAATTGCCGCAAGCTCTTCCAGCTGATTTGCACCACTGGTCCCAGGAAACCAGGTGTCAGAGAGACAATCAACGCGGGTGCACTGATACACAATAAGGAGCGCCGACAACAGCTGTTTACCTCGATTTCAAGAACGCGTTCGATTAAGTCGTTCGATCGATTCTGTTCGAACTACTTGCGTGGAAAGGTGTTCCCACGAAATATGTGAACATCGTTCGTGCTCTATACTCGAACACTACAGGCCGCGTCAGGGTCTATGGTGTCCTATCGGATAGCTTTCCGACTACAAGTAGCGATAGTCAGGGTTGTCCGATTTCCCATTTCGGTTCAATTTCGCCGTGTACTTTATCATGAAGTGTTCCCTTGCGGAATCTCACGATGTAGGCGTTGAACTGCTGCCCGGTGAAAGATTAGTTGATCATGATTATGCGGACGATATCGTCTGGCTTTTCGACGATGTTGCGGCGGCACAATCAATCCTGAATAGCCTGTCTAGAGTGGTCCCATTATTTGGTTTGCACTTCGCACCTTCAAAGTGCAAAGTGTTGATACAGGACCACCAGCCACTTTATGACCTCTTGACCCTTGCTAACGAGAATCTCGAGGTGGTTGATCAACTCACTTACCTTACCAGCCGCATCAACAACGATGCGCGCATAGAAACTGACGTCAGCTCACGCATTGCAAAGTCCAGAGCTGGTTTCTTGAACCAGCGGCATCTTTGGCGACAGAAGGGAATTTCCCTTCGTTTGTAAGGCCGTGTATGCAAGGCCACAGTGAGGGCCGCTCTGCTCTGTGGTAGTGAGACTTGGCCCCTTCAGTCTGAAGATCTGAGGCGCCTTCAAGTCTTTGATCATCGTTGTCTGCGAAGCATTGCTCGTGTTGGATGGCACCAGAGTGTTCGCAATGATGATGTGCGTATTTGAGTACTAGGTAGTGACAATTATGCTAGCTCCCTAGAACAACAGATAACACTAAATAAGCTGCGTTGGCTCGGGCACCTGCTACGTATGTCTGGTCACCGCTTATCTAGGAGTACCTTGTTCAGTCTCTCGGGTGTAGGGTGGTGCAAGGCTCGAGGTGGACAGAAGTTGACTTGGCAGCGGGAAATAAAGTTACTGACGACCAAACTGAGTGCCGTTGGTCCGGATCATCTTCGGTGCTAGAGTCCTCGTGACTCGACCTGTGCATGGCTCGCGACTTTACAAGACATGGCTCGCAACCGACACCAGTGGCGCGTTTGCTGCCGTCTCCTGGTCGCATTGCCTGTTTAAAGTGTGTATGGTGCTGAGTTATCTGCTGGGTAATGGCTGATTGTGGCGCGTAGCAGTGAAATCCGCAAGGAAGCTGTCTCGCCGATGCCGCCTTATCTTTGCACGATAGTCAACTGTTTGTGACGGTATGTTGTCTACACAAGGTGTAGGCGCCTTGACCCTGAATGTTTGCTTAGGCAATTAAGGTTTTCAGGTAAGTCCCCCTTCTCTGCCTCTTATTAATCATTATTCCATTAGTGCTCATGGTTGTATGGCAGCGAAGCATCAGTTGAGCTGGCTGATGTGCTGCTGTTGTTGATTGATTGTCTCATGAATATCTGGATAAGCATATCCGACCCACTTTCAGCCGTCGTCTGTTCTCACTTTGCCGACGCGATCGAGTAGTCACAAATACACTTACGCATTTACAACTACAAACCACACTCGTTTCAATACGTTTATACAGTCATTCAAATACATTCACTGTTATCGCAATCATGCTGTATTTTTGTACCTTTTAGATCACTCCTTTCTGATTTTTATGATCATGCCTGTATAGGTATGCCTCGCATTGTCTAGAATTTGCAGGTTATTTATTTGTCATCTGTCTGCCTGGATTGAGTTCAGGTGCTTTGTTGCACTTTTCATTTCCATCTCCCTGGACTTGTTTCTCGTGGATCTTTACACTTACAGACGGATTTCGATCAGCAATTTCGTTTGTTTCTCTTCTTTCTCAGCATCTTCACGAAATGCTAGACATCAATATGACTGCAGTGGACTGGATGATGAAGGCCTACCCGGAAATTAAGGAAAGAGACGATATGCGCAAGCTCCTTGGTCGGTATGGCCTTACGGGAGCTCAACAGGTATCATAACTCCATATCTTTTCTATCTAAAGCATTCATTCCTTTCAATAAGGGGCATCTTCGGCTTGGATGTTATTGCTATCACTAGTCTTTTTGTACTATCACTTGACGTTGAGTGAAAATATCCGAGTCATTAACCCCGTTTCCATTGCTTCCAGGCTTCCGCGTTATGATGGTAGAGAAACAAGTTTCCGGATGCACCAACTTTTAATTCTTTACAATAAAATGAACTTACATTTTCTCGAAATACACCTTACTAGCGTTCTTGCACAGTTCCGTGAGCTCAGACCATTTGGAATAGCAGCTAGACCATGCCGAAGCTGGTAGCCATTTAGGTAGCTCAATAAAAACTCCCAGTGCAGCTTCTGGAGACTCGCAGCGGATTCCACGCATCATCCGCTTGACATTTGGGATCGTAAAATATCACTCGCAGCCAGGTCTGGGCTGTAGGGTGTATTACCAACTTGGATTCATTCTCTAGCCAGAAAATCTACGACGACGTTAGACCTGTGTGTAGGTACGTTGTCATGGTGCAGCAAGAGCCCTCGTGTCCGTGGACGACGCCTGGCTACAGCTTCCAGCACAAATGGCAGATAGTGGGTGGCATACCAGCCTTCGGTTACTGTGCCTTGGCGTACGAGCGGTACAGTAGCCACGAACACAGCCGCTATCTGCTTGGCCACACTGCGCTCACGCTGCAGATTATGAAGCGGCACCACACCATCGGCCGTCCACTGAGCCGATTGTTCCTTGTTCTCTAGGTCGAAACTGTGTACATTCAGGTCACATCACCACTGTGGATCTGCTAACATCATTGGTACGTCTACCATGAAGCCTGGCAAGCATGACGCGGAACTAATTCACCCGAGCTGCTTTCTGATTCTTACTGAACTGATGTGGTACCCAGCGTGCTCAAACCTTTCTGAGGCCGAGGTTCTCATATAGCATGGTGATGAGGTCATGACTGCTTGCCCCAGCTGTACCACAGTCACCAGCGCGTCCTCCTCAAACATCACTTGCACAGCAGCAATGTTTTCCGCATTGATGATGGCCCCTATAGGTCGACCACGCCGTGCCTCATCATCCAGGGATCGCTTGTCACGCTTGAATTCCGCAAACCACTCAAACATGGTGGTTCTTGAAGGCATATCATCACCAAACGCAGCATGCAATCGTTCAACACTCTGTTGCTGCTTTAAACCCCATTTGTAGTCATAGAAAGTCACCGCTCTCCAGTGACATCGACTAAGTTCCATACTTAGAGTCAGAGTATAGTGACCTTTATGACTTGTGAGCTGTGCTGGACTGTTGATATGCTATACTGTGAGTTGAAAGCACTGAACAATGTTCAGAATGGATTACAGTTCACATTTTTCTTGCCAGGTCATCTGCACCCAATCTGTGTACTGCTATCCGGAAACTTATTGCTCTGCTCTCGTACGTGACGCCGATACATTGGCGATCGAGAGAGTATAGTCATTGAAGCTCGAGCTGACCGAATGCCGACTAGCGTGATGAACTATATCCGCTGTCAGTTTTAACTTCTTGTGAATGCCACATAACCATTAACCATATATTAACACTTACCAGACGATAGAGAATGTCATGCACAAAGACGACTCAACGTGGTAATCTTCCTGAACTTGAAAACCTCCGTTGGTTCGATTTATTATGTTTTTCTTTGGTCTGCCTATCTTTGATGGGTGTACATACAAAAATTTTAATTCTGTAATCCCTGTCTTGAGTTTGCGATCGACCCAGTATTTTTGAGATCGAAGGCAGACTCTAGACCTGGCTTCTGGATACACCAACGCTGAGTGCTCCTCACTTCAGCATGTACTTTTTACTTTTGGAGTACGAGTTACTTCTGTAGGGTTGGGTTTACATTCGTTTGTCCCTAACGTCACCTAACAGTCATGAAAATTGGCGTCGACTCATTCCTCTGACTGCCGGATCACTAGAGCTAACTGCACCGTGGTGTTGGTGACTTTTTAAAGTCTTGATCACCTGTAGATACGGTGGGATATCGGTAGAATTTCAGTGCACCTATGTTCCTGTGTGTCCGAGACATAAGCACCGTGTGATGGAGACGTAATAAGACTGATTTTCTTTGTTTATGACGAATCACTGATTAAACACTTCCAGAGCACGTCAGTTAGCACCCGGCAGTGGATCTCCCCATGAAGCTTAACCGATCACAAAAGGCGGGCCACTTTCTCCGAATACCTGTGTCTGTGCTTTTTTCTTGTTACTTTACTTTGGTATGGTAAATATCAAGCCGGTCGATCGAAAACGTCAAAATAGCATGGAACAACTGACTGACTGTTAGCCGGAGTCATGCATACTATCCTTCATGTTAGGGCCAATCAAGCGGTCCGCATTACCGGTTGAAGAACCTTTGATACACTACGCAACGCCAGCCTCTTTCTTCTGCCCGTCAACCCTTCTGTCTGGTGCTTTTACTCTATTTCACTTTTTTGTTTTGCTTACAAATATGTTTTCTGTGCTTTATAACCCTCCTCACTGATAGCCAATGCGATCGCATTCGGGCCCACTGCAGTTTAGAACCGAACAGCGTATTCTGACTGTTATCGTTAAAAATTTTCTACGTAGCTGTTGGCTTGTTTGTTTCTATTGTTTTTATATTAACACCGCTTTGTTGTTACTTCGGTCTACTCCTAAGCCGATGACCTGTGCATCGTCTCCCTTAATAGGAGTCTATTTGATCACCCACACCCCTGATCAGAAGTCCTATTGCAGCGGAATGTTTAATGGCGCTCTTTCTTGTTATCTCTCCATATCAAGCTCTCTTAGCTACTTTCGATCAACTTTTTTCTTTGCCATCCTGCATCGTTAATCGGTATAATCACTCGGATGATAATTCACTACCTGATCTAAAACGTCACTCAGAGCAAACCTTAACTCTCCTCGCCCACAAGATGCACACCTTATGTAGCACTAAACTGTTTTCCACGATAGAACTGTAGCGTTTTTCTTAAGTTTTTCTGCCATTGTGGATCCTTCTAATTCACCTCGCAAACTGACAGGTTTCTATCACCCGAGTAATCCTCTTTGTGGACTAGCACACATTCATTACCCATCCTGACTATCGGTGTAATTTTAACTCCCATTGCTATTCGGCGCACCGCTTTCTTTCAAGATTTGTCCTATTCGCGCACTATCTGACGGCCAACGGTGCAGAGTTATCTTCGCGTGGCTCGCCCAGAAGGCTCCTCATCTTCTTTTGCTGGACGAACCCACTAACCATTTGGATATCGAAACAATCGACTCTTTGGCCGACGCCATTAACGACTTTGAAGGTGGTCTGCTCCTAGTCTCACACGACTTCCGGCTTATTTCTCAGGCAAGATTTCTGCATTACAATCTCGGATTTTTGACACTTTTATTTTTCACCACAACTATCTATCACTTGCGCATGCGCTCGATAGTAATCTTTTCCAACTTTCTTTTAGGTCCTAGAAAATTCTTCCATTGACTCTACACTTGTCTGAAGCCGACCTATCGATTAGTCCACTCTGAAGGCTGTTTGGTCAAAAATCAGTCATGTTTTTTGCAACCCTTAGTATTTCCAAAAGCTTAATAATAAATAACATGAATTTCCAGCTGTACTCCGTAACGGCGCTTCGCTGCCACGCGACCACCACCAGTCTTGCGCAGGCTGAATATACCGCGAGGACGCCCACCTCTACGCATCATCATCATCAACAACAACAACAGCACATTAGCCAGCTCAACTGATGCTTCGCTGCCATACAACCATGAGGATTAATGGAATAATGATTAATAAGAGGCAGAGAAGGGGGACTTACCTGAAAACCTTAATGCCCTAAGCAGTCATTCAGGGTCAAGGCGCCTACACCTTGTGTAGACAACATACCGTCACAAACAGTTGGCTATCGTGCAAAGATAAGGCGGCATCGGCGAGACGGTTTCCTTGCGGCTTTCACTGCCACGCGCCACAATCAGCCATTACCCAGTAGATAATTCAGCACCAAACACACTTTAAACAGGCAATGCGACCAGGAGATGGCAGCAAACGCGCCACTGGTGTCTGTTGCGAGCCATGTCTTGTAAAGTCTCGAGCCAAGCACAGGTCGAGTCACGAGGACTCTAGCCCGGAAGGCGATACGGACCAACGGCACTCAGTTTGGTCGTCAGTAACTTTATTTCCCGCTGCCAAGTCAACTTCTGTTCACGTCGAACCTTGCACCACCCTACACCCGAGAGACTGAACAAGGTACTCCTAGATAAGCGGTGACCAGACATACGTAGCAGGTGCCGGAGTCAACGCAGCTTATTTAGTGCTATCTGTTGTTCTAGGGAGCTAGCATGATTATCACTACCTAGTACTCGCCTACGCATATCATCATTGCGAACACGCTGGTGCCATCCAACACGAGCAATGCTTCGCAAATAACGATGATCAAAGACTTGAAGGCGCCTCAGATCTTCAGACTGAAGGGGCCAAGTCTCACTACCACAGAGCAGAGCGGCCCTCACTGTGGCCTTGCATACACGGCCTTACAAACGAAGGGAAATTCCCTTCTGTAGCCAAAGATGCCGCTGGTTCAAGAAACCAGCTCTGGACTTTGCAATGTGTGAGCTGACGTCAGTTTCTTTGCGCGCATCGTTGTTGATGCGGCTGGTAAGGTAAGTGAGTTGATCAACCACCTCGAGATTCTCGTTAGCAAGGGTCAAGAGGTCATAAAGTGGCTGGTGGTCCTGTATCAACACTTTGCACTTTGAAGGTGCGAAGTGCAAACCAAATAATGGGACCACTCTAGACAGGCTATTCAGGAATGATTGTGCCGCCGCAACATCGTCGAGAAGCTAGACGATATCGTCCGCATAATCATGATCAACTAATCTTTCACCGGGCAGCAGTTCAACGCCTACATCGTGAGATTCCGCAAGGGAACACTTCATGATAAAGTCCACGACGAAATTGAACAGAAATTGGGAAATCGGACAACCCTGACTATCTCTACTTGTAGTCGGAAAGCTATCCGATAGGACACCATAGACCCTGACGCGGCCTGTAGTGTTCGAGTATAGAGCACGAAGGATGTTCACATATTTCATGGGAACACCTTTCCACGCAAGTAGTTCGAACAAAATCGTTTGAACGCACTCTTGAAATCGAGGAAAACAGCTGTTATCGGTCTGCGGTACGCTCGGCGCTGATCTAGCACCTGCCGCAAAGTGAATATATGGTCTATACAGCCACCTCCTGGGCGGAAACCGATCTACTCTTCCATACTCCGAGATTCCTTTTCCGCATTGAGGCGGCGAACGCTAATTAAGGCCAGTAATTATATCACAACTGGCGTTAGGCTAATAAGCCTGTGGTTAGAACAGTCTGTGCGATTGCCCTTCTTTATATTGCCACCATATTCGATTCGCTGCGGTTAGCCGGGACACTCTTCCTTCCATATACGTTCGAGTAGGGAGGTCAATGCTTTGCAGAGGACCTCACCACCATCCTTAAATAGTGCAGGTGGGAGGGAATCCGGGCCAGCGGAACGAAAACGATTAAGGGCTGTGATCGCGCTTCGAACCTCAGCCTCCGACGGAGTCTGTATGCTAACTATCCATGGCACGTCCTGCATCATCTGAGTAGGAAGAGGTCCGGGAGCAGCGGACCAGCTGAACTGATCTTGAAAGTGTTCAGCCCAATGAACCATACGGCGCTCCTTAGTGTGTATAAGTGCACCCGCGCTGTTTCTGATTTTCTCATTGACGCCTGGTTTCCTGGGACCAGTGGTGCAAATCAGCTGGAAGAGCTTGCTCCTGCCTCCTCCATTTCTTAAGGCCGACTGGTCCACCAGGCTTGCTTCTCAGCACGTAGGCTCCGCTTTAGTTCACTCCTTATAGCCCGTCTGGTCACATTATGTTCAGAGCCAGCCGGCAGGTTTATTCTAGATTCCAACAGGTTTACCGACCTCTTGGATATCCAGCGATTGGTGCGGTGACGATGGATAGTGCCACAATCGGATGCTCCTGCGTCGTGCATAGTGGCCGAGATCCTATTCCACTGAAGCTCAGCGCCATTAGGACAAGACAGCGAAAGTTCGGTACGCGTTGCGTCGTGATAGGCATGCCTGACAGAGGGCTGAGACAGTTTATCAGTTGCCAATCGGAGGAGACGCTCGGTGGGCCTCCCCTTAAGGTTCATCGATAAACGACAGCGTACCAAGGCATGGTCAGGGTCAACGCAGGTACTCCAGTTCGAGCGGCAGTGCAGGATGGAATCACGCCATTTATAACTTATGGCTATGTGGTCAATTTGGGTCCATCGCTGGCCAGCTACAGGAGGACGCCAAGTGGCACTTCGTTGCTCACTGTGTCTAAAAGCAGTGTGACTAAGAAACAGCTGGTGCTTCGCACACAGTTGCAGCAGACGCTCGCCGTTGTCAGTCCGTTCTGAGTTAAGCCCATAGTTACCACCCAGCTGTGCTCCTGAAGTGCTCAGACGCCCTACTTTTGCGTTCATACGCCCTGCAATTACTATGATATCTGTACTGGTGGCACTGCGTATTCACGCTTTCACTTCGTGATAATGTATGTCCTTGACAGCTGTCGAAGTGCAGTAGGTTGGGAGCGTAAGCGTAGATCACAAACAAACGGCGTTTTGTAATACCTCGTGAATCCATCTTAGCTGATGTCGTCAAAGAAGCTGCACATAAACTTCTGTTCACGGGAATCCAGTCAACCAACGATGGCTTAGCTTTGGAGCTTAGGATGATGCCTACACCAGTTTGACCCGTGAGTGCTGCGTTGGCGTCTGCGGATGCATGCAACCAATAACGAGTGGATAAGCCGGGTGCAGTTAATTCAACAACCCCTATTAGGGTCATTGATTCTAGTTTCGGACGCTCAACACACATCAATACCCAGTGTGTCTTAGAGTGCGAACGTTGAACGTCGCCATGGAAACGGGACAGCGTGGCCTTATAAGGAGCTTTTGCCGATAGACGCCTGGTGTGTGTCTCGAGGTGGCTGCGGATGCTGTGACTCCAGTGGCACTTCGGTTACTGTCAAATAAACTGAGAATTATAGTAGGAAGGTTAGTAATGGGGGTCGGGATAGGAGTAAGAGAAACAGGTGGAAAAGAAAGTAGGGAGGCGCCAGCAGTAGCATGTTTTCGTTTATCCGCCCTGTTGTATGCGGCAGATAAGGCGACCCTTGATAATCTGCGCGACGACTGATGCTGGATGGAGTTTATTTTGGAAGAAAAAGTCGTGGTTGTATGTGCGCTGAGATACTGACAGGGCGCCGAGACTTAGACAGGAGGACGATTAGGGTCCTCATCCAAGGCTTTTTGCTCAAGAGCCTATACGCAAGGCAGCGGGGAGGTGCAATGGTTTAGTTTTACAGAAATGGGCGCCATCGCATTTCAAACCCCCATCCTGAAGGACTAGGATGCTGAGTTTGTTTGACCTCTCACCACTGAGCAATCTGGTAGGAGTAGCTCTCCAGGGGCCCGGAGACATCACCCAGTAGAGCTCAATGGGTCAATGAGGTACGCAAACCGTTGCACCACGTTAAGGTCCAGTCTCGTTGCGACGGCACCCCTACGCAGATTCGAACTGGTGTCCTTATGGTTGCAAATCAGGTGCTCAGACCAGTTGGTCACCGGCCACTTACATATCCCAGCTTCCTTCAACCACTCGATGATGGCTATCATTACGTTCATTGTTTGCTGTATCCACCATACGAACCATGACAACTTACTATTACTGTAAGCACCTCTGCATTAATGCATATCTAATCATGCACAACAGTACAATTCCCTCACTAGCAATTTGCACTTAGAGCGCATGTGTCTTTTGCGGGTTTGCTTTTCGCTTCCCATTTTTTGGCGTATTTGCTAACTTCGGATGTCACTGTATTAAGTGTCAGCATCTATGTTTACCCATATTTTTTCGCCTTCTTGTCTTAGCTGACATCAACAATAAACTTATCCATTCTTATTTTTCCTTCTCAGGTTGCGAAAGAGATCTGGGTATGTGCGAATCAGACCATTACCCCTTGGGATGGGGATATATTTTCTTACAAGAAACACCTTGCGAAGGCTGTCGATAAGGAACTGTCTCGTCTCAGCACCGCTCAGGAACGATGATTCTCGTTACACACACTAAGAGAATTTTTTGTCGCTTTCCCTCTAGAGTTTCCTCAAATACACCGGTATATTTCTTACCCATGAATTCGTTTTTATTCGCTATTTTACTAATTCTTCTTGGTTACTCTGTTTATCCTCTCGGCGTCGAGCGATACAACTCACTTCTCTAAGTGCCCTCCTATTAAGCGAAATCATACACTTAACTAACATCATTAGTCCATCTTGCGGTTTATTCATGGATCATGTGCTTACGCGACAATCTGACTTACTGACTAGAGAAAGCGATCCATTTAGACTGCTACGTTAGCAGTGATCGAGTGACTTCGAGGGACATTACTTGCATTGTCAAGTTTTTAACAGTCTTTACCAATACACAAAATTATTATCTTCCAATTGAAGTTGATATATCTCCTCATCAGTTAAATGACCTCAAGCGTTAACACACACACATAGTTGGTGGCATCCGACTCCGGATTTGCCTGTTACTGTGGCTTCTATAAGACGCTTCTACAAGACGTCTTCGTCTACAGAGGGACTATAGTTGGCTTGCGCTGCACCACCCACAGTTCCATCCACACACACCATATCCGGCGTAAATACGGAGGATTAAGACCTGGAGACATGTGGGTGGGAGGCACCTTTTATCAACGTAGCCTACCCACACTCCTTCAACATTCCTGTCTATCTAATTTGCGTACCAGGCGTGCACAAGGCAATGGCCACCTGCTTCCGTATCCTCGAGGAACCCATGTGGCGGACATGTCCAAGCCACCGCAAGTGCCGCAGCAGAATTATGCAGTCTACTGCATACATGACATTGTAGCGGAGCACCTCCGTATCTCAACTCAGTCACAACCGATGCACAGAATCCGGCGCAGACACTGTTGGTAAAAATGCTCTAGATATCTGACCTCTTTTCGGTACACCGTTTAGGTTTTACTGCTGTTTACATGAACGGACAACACCATCGACTGTTACACCACCAGTTTCCTCCCGCCAGTAAGCTGGGGATTTCTCAAAATAAGACTTTCCAGCTATTCACGTGAAGAAGTTGCCTTCGGTACGCGTGTGCGCAGCTCGCTTATCATGTCGAGGTCTACGGACAGTGTGCTCCTCAGGTAACAGAATTTGGAGGTAATTTCCGAAACAACAGTACTACTCTGGGCAGACTGTAGATTTACGGATTCCACTTCTGGTTGTGGCTGAAAAAGACAAGCTGTTTTGTGTTGATGGTGAGCCCGATCTTGGCCGCTGTCGAGGCGAGACCTGCAGTCATACGCTGCAACTCCTCCGCCCTGTGTGGCAACCGCGCATTCGTCGGCAAAAACGGCACATAGATGGGTGTTTTACACACTGGGGTTCTCTTCCCTAAACGACGGATATTCAGCAGTCCACCATCAATGCGGTGCTCTCACATATATTCTGTAATCGCAAGCAACATCAAAAGCACATCATGACATCTAGGTAAATATTAAACAGCGCAGGAGTTGACACACAGCCTTGCTTCACACCACAGGAAACAGTCATTTGATGTTTATCCACTCAGCTACATTCTCACCCGCATACCGCTGTGCAGACATTCAACTAAACTTACAAGCTTACTCGGGCAATCAAATCTACCCAACACCAACCACAGTACCTCAAGGTTCACCGTGTCAAATGCATATGGTACGGCAGCCGGAACGGAATCCACAATGCTCTTCCGCAACGTGCGACTCAACGACCTGTGTGACTAGGCGGTTGAGCAAGATTTGTGCAGTCACTTTCCCCACACAACTCAGCAGATTGACACCACGATCATTCGTGGCACATCGCCTTGTGCAATGGCAGCACAAGGGCGTCTCCCAATTTCGTTACCACCTCTTCTTCAACCCACACGAGTTGCACTAATTGTTGCAGCACATATATCAACGCGGGTCCACCACGTTTCAATACTTCTGGCGGTATACCTTCGCCTTCAGCACCAATTGTGTCGGCAAGACCCCATCTCTTGTTGTTGCAGCCCGTGCAACATAGGCCACTCAATCTCTGGACGGTTGTTCAAGAGACAGTCAAAGTGCTTTTACCTGATCTGCATTATTTCGGCAGTCTGTACAGGTAGCGCATGTAGTAGGACCGAGCAGCGTCCTCAACGGCTGCAACCTGTGTCCAAACACCGCCTTCTAGGGCCCAAAAAATTCCTTGTGTTGGCGGCGTTCGGCGTAGCATTCCATCTGCTTCGCCTTCTCCGTTCACCATGCATTTTTGATGCGACGGGGCTCTCGAGTCAGCCGCCGTCGATGTTTGCGAGATAGATTCTCCTCGCAGTTGGCAGGGTCATCCAAATGTCCAGTGAACGCTGCATTCTTCTCTGACACCAATGCGCCAAGGGTCGCACTGTTGTCATCAAACCAGTTTACACGCCCGATTTTTTCCTCGGCAACATCCGTCACCTGCTCACGAAAGTGAGGACAGAGGTCGCTAACTGAGGCTATGAGTTCGACATTGCCAAGACGGGTGGCCATTGGCTCCTCCTACTTCTTGATAGTGCCTAGGGAGCGGACATTTAATTTTCGCCGATTCAGGCAGTTTAACAATACATTTAGTGGGTTAGTTAAAATTGGTACTGTTCATTTTATAGGGTGATCTATCGAAATCCGTGGAATAGTTGTACGTATTAAGTACAAAAATCACGCATAATAGCCCACTTTTTGCGGTTTTTCAAAAACTGCTGTCTTTTTAGTCAGTTCTTTAATTGCTGTGCCGATCGCGTAAATCATGGAATAATTTCATGCGTATCTTCCAATGATTTCGATTTCGCGCCATATTCTTAGGGGCTTCTAATCAGCGATGTTCTTCATCCACGGCTGTCAGCAGGAATACGAGACTGACGATTACTGAATTGAAACCCAGCGCTCTGTCGTTTCGTCGGTATGTATGTTAGGTCAGGTGTCCCAGAGTGTAACAAAATGGCGAAGACAGTTGTCCTTGGAGAGCCATTTAAGGTCTGTATGCAACAATAGAACCTGGAAATCTTCATTGTTCCCCCCAAACAACCGCTGGGAAAGACGATATTGAAGTGGTTGCGATCTGATACGGTTGACTACTCTCATAACAGTTGAAAGTGATTCGTTCAAGCATCCTCCCAAGTTCTTAGCCACTAGGTGCTGTCGATGAATCACACAGTGAATTATATGAACAGGAGGTAGCACACATTTTAGATGGGCAATGAATCCTTTATATCTTCCGACCACTGCTACAGTACCGTATTTGCACATGCAACTATGTCAGATAGCTATTGACTACCTTGCATATTGACCGTCCCTTTGTATGAGTTTTGATTCCCCTTGCAGACAGCATCTCTTCCATTAATTCATTTTCATTAGAGTATCAGACATACATCACCAGAACAGCGTTATTATCAGGTAAACTATATTCATCTACTTGTAACGAAAATTTTCTGCATTGTAGTAAGGTAACTAAGGTACCATCTATATCCTGAGCCATCTCATCCATTCGTATGGATACAGTTGTTTTGCTGAACGGAATGGCTTGAAATGCTTCTTGAAGATTCTTGTTCGCCATACCCGATAGTATTATTGATACTGTAGGCAATATTATACTTTCCCCGACATTTTGCGGACTGCAATTTTCTGCGATCAGCTTGCTGTCAGAAAACATGTTGTTTAACGTTGGTCTTCCCTCGAAAATATTCCGCAGTTTTCTGAAAATATCCGTAGACTTTCCGCTTCTGTCCCCATGAACACTTTCCAAGGAATCTGCAGTTTATTCGGTCGCATACTTTCATTTAAATAAGTGTTCCGGCAAATTAAACACAGCTAGAGGGTTTTGAGGTGATGCGATAAGTCCAAATGACATACATTCCACGGAAAACTGCCTCCACTTCTTCTTTACCGAGGTCTACATTTCTGCAATGTCACTGCAGATTATGAATATCTAACGCAATGTAATATTGCTATTGTTTTACCTTTCTTACTCAGTTTTATCATGTATTTGAATAACATTATCATTCGAACTTGTATACCATCACTTAGCCGTGTGGTCGCGAAAAAACTCCTCCTGCATTATTCGCATCCAAATCTTTGGATTTATTCTCACAGAGACCTACGTGCCATCATTCGATTTGGCTCCGCGAGCTCCTCCTACCACTGTTCATCTATTGGATCTATCATTCACGGATCACCAACAAACTGTGCTCTTGGAACTTCGAAGTCAACCGTATTTGAAGCTTATCTGATGTTTTATTTTTCCTCTCGTCGCATATGAACTCTTGTGGTCTTATTTTAAAGAGCTTTTTGAGAGTCACCCGATCAGCTTACTACCATTCCTTCAAGTCGCTCTACCAAGCGATAGTCGTCAATTTGATCCGTCCTTGGAACTGCCACTGTCGTCATTAGACAGTATTTTCCAAGTCACCTTGCTTTGCCTCAGTCGCTTTGTCTCGCATCGCTGTCTACCCTCTACCGTCTGGATCGATAGCACGCACATCGCCTGGACCTGCTAACCTCAAACCAGCGCCGATCGCCACGCAACGGTGCGTCAGTATCTCCATCCTCTTCCTACCCCTACTGAGAACATGTCTCATATGAAAAGCAAATACGAATCATGTGCCAAAGTGGTAAAAAGTGGTCTGGTGTGTACCATGTGTTTGAAAACCTATCACACTACCTGCCTTAGGAAGGGGTCGACGGAAGCAAACACCGCAGAGACGCCTTGGTTCTGCCAAGTATGCAAGTCTATTCCATTTGTTAGCTGTCTATCTGTGCTACTGAAGAGGTGTGAAAGACTAACCGAAGTGGTCGAGCAACTGGTGAGCGCCAGAGTTACACCCATGGGAGGAAACGGACCTGCACTTGTGCGTGAAAATAACACCCCGAACTCCCTAGTCAGGCCGAAGAAGCGAGCCAGGCGTCCCAACCCAACCCAACGACTCAGCCTCCAGCAGTATCAACTCCATTCTCTCTCCTATAAGTAAAAACAGTGCCTGCAGCGCGTCTGCCTTAACTTCTGTACTGTGTGCTGCACCTAGTAGTCTGTTCACTACACTCGAGACTGTAAGCTACAGTCAACCAGCCATAGTGAACA